CCCCGCACCACGGCTCCTGCCCCGAGCTGCAGCTCCACCGCCTCCGCGTGCCCGACTTCAGCCCCCCGACGCACGAGCAGATCCAGAGCTTCCTGCGCCTGGTGGAGGAGGCCAACGGCAAGGGGGAGGTAACGCCCGGGGGAACACCAGCGGGGGGAGTAGCACCAAGGCGGGGTTACGCCGATGGGAATAATGCCAAGGCAGGGGGTAACACCAACAGCGATAGCGCTACTGAGAATAACACCAAGAGGGGGTAACATCAAGGGGGGGAAATGCCAACAGGGGTGATGCTAATGGGGGTAATGCGGGGGGTAATGCCAGGGAGGAACATCAGTGGGGGTACGCCAATGGGAATAATGCTGGGGGGGTAACGCTAATGAGAATAACGCCAAGGCAGGGTAATGCCAATGGGAATAGCACCACAGGGCAGGAGGGGAACCCCAGAGAGGGTGACACCAATGAGAACCACTCCAACGGAGTAACGCTGATGAGAATAACTCCAAGGAGGGGTAACATTAAGGAGGAGGTAATGCCGATGAGGATAACACCAAGGGGGAGGTAACGCTAACGGAGGTAATGCTAATTAAGGTAACACCGACGTGGGAAGGTTGTAATGCCAACAGGGTTAACGCTAACAGGAGTAACATCCCAGGGGATAACACCAACAAGGGTAACGTCAAAGAGGAAACACTAGCAGAGGAGTGAACAGTGAGGCAGATAGCACCAACGGGGGTAATGCCAAGGGGGTAACACCAAGTGGGGGTAATGCCAACAGGGGTAACGCCAAGAGTAATACCAGCAGGAGGTGATGGCGAGGGGAGAGGTAATGCCAACAAAGGAGTAATGCCAATGGCGGTAACGTCAAAGGGGGAGCACCAAGATCAGGTAACACTGAGGGGTTACACCAAGGGGGGAGGTAGCACCAAGGGCAGGCGACGCTAAAGGGATAACTTCAGAGGTTAGCACCAAGGCGTAGGTGATGCTGTGGGATAACACCAAGGTGAGGGAGCACCAGTGAGGCTGCGAGCTGCTCGCAGCAGGGACACCCCGGTTCCCTCCCTGCTGGGGTCCTGCAGGGCACCGAGCCCATGCTGGCTGACCGTGCCATTGTCCAGGCTGTGGCGGTGCACTGCTTGCTGGGGAACGGCCGCACAGGCACCATGCTGGCCTGCTACCTTGTGAAGGCCCAGAAGATGAGCGGTATCGACGCCATCCAAGAGATCCGGAGGCTCCGGCCCGGCGCTATCGAGACGCACGAGCAGGAGAAAGCTGTGATCCAGTTCTACCAGCGCATTAAGTAGGTGCAGTCCCATCTCCGCATCTCCCACTGCCGTGCCATGCCGGGGCCACGACCAGCGGGGTGTTCCACACTGGATGCAGCGAGCCGGAGGGACGTTGGTGGTTGGATCTGCCTGCCGTGGGACTGGCAAGGGTGGAGAGGAGGCATGACGGTCACCATTGCCCCTGAGGCAGCATGTGCTGGACAGAGATGGGCAGAGATGGGTGGAGATGGTCATTCTATCAGGCCCGAAAATGGAGGGGGAGCCTTTTCCAGCTTGGAGGGGCTGCTCTCTGTCCTGTCTATCATTAAAGGACTCTCCTGTGCCTAGGCCTGTGCTTGGGGAGCCAGCTCGCACGCACTCACAGCTCCCACAGGCTCCGTGCCTCCTCAGTGCATCAGCCACGTGAAGCCCAGTGGCAGCAATGCTCCAAAGGAAGAGCCCAAAGAGGCCCCAGACCCCCAGGCTGGGGGAAGTGCACCCAGTATCAGCAGGAGAGCCCAAGCAGGGCTGCCCCCATCCCACCCATCAGGCAGATTGCCGCTTCACCAGGTAGCGCCGCTCCTCTTGGCCGCTATTCCAGCCAGCTGGGAGTGTCTCCCTCTGGCTTCGCAGCATTTGGGACCGGCTCCAAGGTGATCTGTGCCTCCTGCGTCATCCCCAGGGATGGGCAAGGGATCAGCCCTTTGCCTCCAAGCATCACTACTTGGTACCCAAGAGTCGCCCAGGTCCCAAGGGCTTGTTGGGACTCTAGGGCGGCCTGAGGGTGCACCCAGGCAGTGTTGGCCAAGAGGCACCCATAGGTCTCGGAGAGCTGTGGCCTTCGCTCGCACCTCTCACCTTGATCTGCAGCTGCATACTGGGGTGCATGCAGCTCCTCTGAGTGCCAGCCATTGGGTTTTTGCCCAGCCCCATCCCTATGGGAATCACGAGCATCTCTGCTTTGGTCACCAGGAACCAACCCTCAGAAAGAGCTGGTCGCACGCCAAAGCGTTGACATCGGGCTCCATTTAGGTGCTGAGGACAACAGCCACGTCAGAGAGCACGCAATGGCCGACCCATGGCCGAGCTGTCGGATCCAAAGGACTTTGATGCTTAAAAGGAAGCTTAGCTGGAATTTAGGCATCTCTGTCCAAAAGTCCAATCCTGAAAATCTCTTCTCAGCTGCTCCTAACCTTGGTGGCACTTAAATCCTAAGTGCAAGAAGTGTCACCGTCCCCATTCCCGGGCACGCAGCACATGGCCGGAAGCACTGGGCGCGACCGCAGCATCTGCCACCCCAGCCACCCTGAGCTGGCAGAGCTGCCGCCTTGTGCCAGGCAGCTCTGGCAGCCTCCCAGCTGTGGGTCAGAAATCCCAAAATGTCTTATTTTCCCCTCAGAAACGAAGCGCCAGGGTAACGGCACCTGGTACTATTGACAAAATGACCTTGCCCTCCTCAAAACCGGGCCCCGGGGAGCTCCTGCTGTCTCGGGGCAGCTGTGGTGTCCTGGAATCATCCCCTTTCCTAAATCGGGGCATCCTCGCACACCAGTCCATCCCCACGCACCGGGCCAGAAGCCACTGTTGCAGCTGCAGCAGCTGTGAGTAGGGTGTTGGGTGGCTGCGTGCTCCAAGAGGCACCGCGGCACCCCGCGCTCAGGGCTGGGTGCCACAAGAGCCTGGGTGCTGGTGGGGTGCCAGTCCTACTGCCCAGCCGTACCCAACTGTGCCATCCCACGGACACAGTGCAGGGCAGCAGCCCTGGACAGAGGGTGCCGGGCAGGAGGGGACCCCACCATTCCCAGCGCAGGGCAGGTGTGGGGTCCTGACTCCTTTTTGGGGGACGTGAACACAGCACCTGGTCTGGATCTGGTCCCCAGTAGAGGTAGGGTGCCCGGCCACGGGGAAGTCGTAGCCACGGGGGTGCTGGCCACCACATAGAGCAA